TGGAGCAATCGAAACGAACAGGATGAAAAGTCGGTATTTCTCTTTCAAGAGAAATGACATGATTTCAGTGGTAGATAAATTGCAGAAAGTTAAATAATGTCTACAGATACTCTATGATACCATATACTGAACAAACGATAAAATATTCTGCAGATATGGTTGATGAATATACGAAGGAAAGTTGAAGAGACATATTTGTTGTAACAATAAAATAGACAACCGCGTTTTTCAATCGTCTGCGATATGAAGAATATCAATTTCAAGAGATACACAATATGTGTACTCGTAGTGGAATATTAAAGATGTAGAACAGGAAATAAATTAAAAATGTAAGGGTTACATTGAGTATTAATATTTGCAAAGCATCTTTAAGTATTTCTTGTAGTACAGAGAAACCGTCAGTGTATACTATGTGAAACCTACCAACAAGATTCGTGTAACGATAAATCTACTGTCACCGGAATCGGACATTTACCCGATTCGAAGGGCGGCGACAATCGTGTCCACGGATCACCAGTCGCAGGTAAATCATCTGATTTTTCAACTGACAGCGATTCAATCGAATCGATTTCAATATACGTGAAAAACTAATAGAATCTGTTAGAACAAATTTGATATTCGATTCACGCGCCAGATGTAAGCATTATTTTGTAAACAATTTCATTCAATAAAAATCATGGCTATTAACAAAGAGATTTATAAATTTAAAGTTTTATAGTTTGTAATTTATTGAATCTTTTATAGACATTTATTTAACGAGCAATTTTTTCAAATGAAATTATTTTAAACGTGATTGTTAATAAAAGTAAATCCAATTAGCAATACTTCACAATAGCAGCGAAATAGAATGAGCTTGGACGATGATTTTTAACGCGCAGATTTTTGATTGATTGATTTGGTCTCTGTTTTTACACAAAAATAAATTGGCGCGCGTGTGTAACGAGCTGGAGAGAAGAAGAATTGCGAGCGCGCATGCGAGTATCAAGCGCTCTATGATGTGGCTCCATACATTCCACAAATAAACTCTGCAATTAACAAGGGAGCACAATGGGTGTAACATTTCGCTGAATGTAATTCCGTGTGCAACAACGAATAAGTACCCTAAATGATTAAAACAAAAAATAGCGTGAAAATTCGTGACGGTTCTGACTAGTGTTTCATTTTTCGAAAAACTTTTAATAAAACTCATCTTGTGCAGTTATTAAAAAAACTGAAATTAACAATATCGAAGCAGGGTTCGATAGTTTTTCAATAGTTTAGTGAAAAATTGAAAATAAAATCGTTTCTTTCACTCATAGTTTTTAATTGATATTGCTAAATATACGAATACGATATTGAAATCTCGTGAACCCAGATATATAGGATAGAATATTAAGAAGTATTGATTAGTCTTATTTTAAGCAATGTCCGTCTCATTTTAACCAAAATCGTAACGAAATCTATATTAACTACACGAATAATACATATATCCTACTGAGAATAGATAGTACTTTTTTTTTAAAATAGCGTGAAATATAGAATGACTGAGCATCTAGTTCATCACGTAAACCGCTTTGAACTATATCCTTTTTGTCTCTCGTCATTACTCGATCAATCGAACGCTCGTATAGGATCAACCAGAATTGATATACGACCACAATTACGTTGATGGATATGTATTAATTATGTACACGCATACGTACATGTGAATACGATTATAACTATTTACTATTTAATTCAATGCATCATTTACCTACGATTAGTATATTATTTAAGTATTACGTGTTATGTACAAGATAAAGGAGTTCATAAACCGGAAAATACTTTGATCCTAGCCGATCGAGATTTCAAATAGTAAATCAAGAGTAGTTTACAATGTTCCAGTGCATCCAGCCTACTCGTGTTGAGACGCACGCAAAATTTGCATGGAGCACTGCCCCCAAGGTAGACACTGTTTTCGATGAAGCAGCAGTGCTTGTGCTGGATTTACTGGACGGTCAGAAAACATACGTGTTTGTAGAGTACGCCAACAGAGCGGCCAATGAAATTGCAATATCAAATCTCCGTATATTTAAGAAAAGAAAAATTTTGACAAGAGACAAAACATCTATCTTCAAATATTTCATTCTCTTAACTTCAGGAGAATACAGAAACAAGCAATCTTTACTTATAATTAATATATCCATAAATTTTCTAATCATTCACGTTGATATTACTATTAATTTAGTAATCCTACATTCGGCACTATACATTCGTAGAACAACAATTAAGTACGGACTGCGAATGATAGTTATGTTAAATATTCCATACACGAGAAAATAGCTTGAGAGCATTATGACTACATAATAACGCGATGTGTAATAATTCCACCAACAATCCATGTACCTCGAGCACTAACACTGAATCTAAACAGCTAGACATGAATAAGCAGAATTTGATGTTCTGTGGAAGCATCTAATGAACCATACTATGGTCGAAACAATATAATTCAACTGAGACTAATACGTTATTTCATACATCAATGAGTTACATCAAGAGTAACACTACATTATGTATTGTTAGGTCAACAAGAATTATTATGAAAGCTTATATCATTTGTGAAATGTAATAAAAAAATAAATAACTTTCCTTACTCTTACTTTACTGTCACTGAACGTAATATAAATATGCATCGTGAGATATTGATGATATGAAAATCTTACTTTCTGTTTTCTCGTACCTGTGCTAAGGCTGATCGGAAGATCGATGCCGAAAAGTTCCACAAGATTGATCCCCTACAAAAAGAGCACACTTTTTTTTATAACGGATTTCCTTCCTACTAAGGTTTCTAACTTCAAAATGCACTTTCGCCCTTCATCGTGAAAGTTACAAGAAAATTTGATAGACGTGTTACTGAAATTACGAAGTTCGAAACCAAATCATCGTCAATGTCGAGCTACTTGTTCATAGCATAACGTGTAATATACTTCAGATTATAATGTATGTACCGTAAAATAGTAGGATACAAACTTTTATGTATTACCATTTTTATGGCAATTCAAACTTATTATAAAAATTCATGAAACGAAATTATGTGTGATTAATATATCGAGTGTGTTCGACATTTGACGATTCAATTCTGTATACCACTATTTATGATGATCGATGCTGAACAGAAATTACTTTTAATATTCAAGGAACAAAGAGGATTGCGACAATGCAGTGATATTAGTCAAACAAGAATGTGAGGAGATCTTAAAGATGACTCGAGGAAAGACGGAGAAACAATTTGAGGACATATTGGAGCTATACAATGAAGCTAAAGGGCAGGTATTTAAAGAGAAGTTATCAAAATTCCATATCGAATTATAACTAGTGTTCAAACAAGATATTCTTTAATCTTGCAACGAGCGTTATATATTTTTTTTTAATACCGGTTTCCTTTATTTTTCAAACTGCACGGGATATTCGAATTTTCCTTAGTCGCGCGGGCAGTTTGGAAAGTTCCGGACCCAATAGCGGTGCAACATGCACCGTAAACCGACTTCAAAGCACTTTTTTAATTGATATGCATTCAGTCCACTGTTGTAGCCACTGCACCTTTTTACAGGCAGCGCATCGTAAAAAGTGTGCTTTGAAACGTCACGTCGCCTTTTTGATACGCGAAATCGAAGTTGTCACCTTCCGCTTGCCTCTTGAATATGCAGTGTCTGTGTAAACCTCGAATTTTAAGTGGGTCGAATATACCCTACTGTACTCCTAAATCAAGTTTTTTTTGCCTCCTCTCTCTTAATGATGCTTCCTCAATATTGCGTTAAATTAATTGTCATTCATTTCATTTTTATTTACGATAAAAGTATCTCTTATAAAAGAAAATATTTATTTCTGTTCTTTATTTCACACTTTAAAATTATTAATTCCTAGCATAATAGTAATTTGCGTTTTCAACATCGTATCATGTACGCTAAGAGAAATAGAAGGTCAATTACGAAATAAATCTTCAAGTTGTTGGAAATATAATATTGACTGGTCAAATGTTCAGTAAAAATTGCATTACTCGTTAGTTGATTGCAGTTCACCTTTAAGGCGAGAATTTCGGGAAATTTCCGAACGTATTTTCTTTACCGTCGGAAGTATGTCAGGTGAATCTTTCGTAATTTCAGCAGGAAGTACGTCAGATCCAATAACCTTTATTTCTAACAAAGATAGAGGAAAGAAGACGGAAAAAAAGAAAATCACGTCCGACCGTCTATATTAACTAATACTTTCCTCAATAAAGCTTGTTCGTCTGCTACAGACAATTGAATTTGTTCTTCACTAGATAACTTTAATTCAAGATTCTTAATATTTCATGGACTTACGAATCGCGAAAGTTGGTGAAAACTTGAGGTAATCCTAGGCACCAGATTCGTTCAATACTTTTATTCCACTCGTAACGATTTTTAACATTCACGCTTGTTTTAATAAATTCACTGGTGAATATAACTTTTCGAGTTAAATTCTCGTTGTGAATTATCTCTCTACTGTTGACATTTGGAGAATCACATTATCGTGAACCGTGAATTTCTACTTCTCCAAAATAATTCATTCTCGTAAATAATTAATTCTCCTATATAAATAGAAAATACTCTTCACTGTACGATCGCATGTAGAGTATTTTCCTATTTATTATTATTATTATATTTTGCAATTTCTCTTCCACTTAGAAATTTTATTTCTTTTTTGCAACGATCTTATACTGCCAACGATTTCTGGCCAGCTCACGTAAACAGAAGTTAATACGCAGTTTTACGACTGTTCGTCCATTAAATGAATCTCAATTCGCCTCAATCTTATGAAACCGGAGCGATAGTACTTAAGCTACTAAAGCTATTTAACAGTGTAAACCGAAAGTTACTCTGGGATAGATAAACTGTTCATGGCTCGTTAACGAAAGTAATCGCATTAAAACATGGGACAGTAGTGCGAACTACTGTGTAAGTTGAATTTCTTCTCTTTAATTCAACGTATTTTCGAAGTAATTACAAGATATTAAAATTAAGCTGCAGGACTACAAGATCTCTTAGCAGCTTGTTTATAACAAGTTACAATTTGAGCGAATGTTTAAGATTTGAAATTCTATTCTTGAATATATGAACATTATATCTCGTATCATTATATTAAAAAATATTAATGATACGACAGTATCACGGTAGCAATAATAACGTACTTTTATTACTAGATGCCACGCTAAAAGTCGTACGTGGCACGGTTCAGTAACGGAAAATTTCATTGCGGGCTGTAATCTCTCATAGAGAAACGGTAAAACATGAGATTTGGTCAGCTACTGCAAACCCTTTCATATCGTTGCAATATTTCAAAGTAAAATTGAAACTAAACTGAAAAGTTACAAAATAAAAAACTGTCTGCCATTTATTTAACTTATTGATTTCGAACGTTCCCGGAATTACTGTTTGCTTTAACATCCCTTTTTTAAACTTGTAGCTGCTGTAATAAACTTCAACCTCACGTTTGAAACTAAATAATTCAAATGAAACAATGAATAATAATACAAAAATCATTGTTATATGAAACTCGATTTTTCTACGATACTTTCCTAACAATTTTCATTGAAATTCCCTTTGGGTAGGTACATCGATTACAGGAACAGATAGAAACGTATCAAGGTGCTGAACGAAAGTACGAAAACCGAACGTTCGAGCTGGCGAACCTACTTGAAACTTTAAAACGTTTCGACGTCGACGTCGGCTCTGTCTGTCAGCTAGTGGCGGAAGGTTTGTACTATCCGCCAATGTTAGATTCGTCTGTGTGTTAGTCGAATGTATCCGCTCTGTAACAGCTTTGAAGAACTTGACCGAACGGAAAAACTTATTCGAGGAGAGCATGAAGAATCTCAGGCATCTTGCATGGACCGTAAAAGACAGAAAGGATGAACCACAACTGGTTTTATTAAGGGAACAGAATTCCGTTTTGAGGGAAGTAGTAAAGAATCTAAAAAGAAAGGTAGGTACCTTTGCTACCTTATTGCAATAGAAACTCCAATGCCCACATTATTAGTTACTAATATGAATGCTAATTAAGATCATAACTAAATATATAAATACAATAACTTACTGTTTATAAAATACAAAATAATACAGACAATTTCTAACATTTCCTACCTAATAAAGATCTTCCTTCTTCGTATCCTATCTTAGAATCCTATTTTAGAAAGTATATAATTTCTCAATGAGAATTATTCTCTAATACGTTGTACGTAAAATAATCTTCAAAATTTGAAACTGACCATCAATATTGTTCTATTTTTTTCCATTGTAACAAAACAATAGTATTTCTTTTATCTATCCAACGAGATAAAAAAAAAACAGTATATAAAGTGTGACCGTTCCGCGTACTATGAATAAAGAAATGCTTTGACCGTTAAATGGTGCATGTATGTTGGAATAAAACAATTTCAACGGTTCGCTAAAGTTAATTATAGATTTGCACAAAGGATGCATTGTGCTTTGTACGTACGAGTTGTCCAAATTTCAAGCGTGTCAATATTTCTGCGTGGTGCTCTCGCCCAGCCGAAAACAATGCTAGGCTGTAATTTTTGCGAGGCTACTTTCATTATCTCACGCTTTTGTATGCGCCCCAGAACGCACAAGTATCCTAATAAAACGTTTATCGGTTTTACAATAACGTGGCACGCGGTAACAGTTTCAAATATTTAGGATCAAGTAACTACGATAAAACGGTTACTTATATTGCATGTAATTAACCCCTGAAAAACATGTAGTGGCAAAACTTAAATTATCGGGTTTAACCCATTGAAAAACAATGTTTCGTATAAAAACAGTTGCGAGTATTAGAAAACACAAATGAGAACAGTGTAAAACATGTATGAAAAAATCAGTATGAGCATTCCTCGCAATATTAGCGTTCTTTTAACAGTTTGACTACCAAATCAAATACTCTTTTTATTTAAAACAGTTTATATAATGATCATAATATTATACTTCATTAGTCTATATCTTGTAAACTATCTTTCGAAATATCAGCTAATATGTAGATCTAACTCATTGTATGTTGGCCGAATAAACACGACAATAAGTATGCAAGTACGTCGATAACAGCTTAGGGCGGTGTGTGTTTGCGATCAAAATGCAGTGTCGGTACATAGCCCATTGAAAACTTTGTGCTGCACCTGAATTTTGGTGATATAGCAGTCGAAGTACTAAAATCTGTAAAATTTATATAGAAAAATAATGTATTACGGACTTTTCTATCGATATGAAATCCTGTGGCCGTAAATTTTATGTCATTCGAATGCATAAAAATTGTATACTTGAAAAGAAACGTAATATTATGAACGGTAATATTGCGAATGCTCAACGAAGCTTATAGGTAAGTATGAATATTCAATTTACCTTCTATCTGGCCGCGAAACTTCTTAAACAAAGTTCCAGTCTTCATTAGAAATGATATAGCTCGAAATGGCTGAATGAGGCACGTAGTCGGGTTAAAAAATCACTCACAAACTGCACTACTATTGTAACACGTTCTTTCTTTAATACGCATTTGAGTTCCTTGCACATTTCCCGCAAACTTTGATAAAAAGTTACAGACATTCGGGCAAAAGAAGGACGAAATGCCTGAGAGAGAAAGCGAAGGACGACTGGCACAAACACTTCGCAGTATAGAAAAACGTACGGCGACTATAGACAATAATTTACCCAAGGTGATACTTGAAAGAAACATCGTCCCACTGGTAAACAATTTAGTAAATTCGTCGTGTTGTGAAACTACCACCGATCAGAGCACGAACAAATGTGAAAAGACACGCGAGAACGACGTAGAACAAGCACGATCTATACCTGGCGAGAACAAGAACGATAATCGATTTAAACGGATCAATATGGAGGACAGAGTAATCGATAAACGCGGGAGAGTGCTGTATATCGAATCACACTTCAGTGGTGCAGTGTATGAGGAATACCTGATTGAAATGTCCGTAAATCGCGAGATAAAGATTAAATATCCAGTGTCGTTGGACAAAAGCGAGAAAATGATTAACGTGGAATTCGTCGATAGTGAAACTGAGTATGAAAAATCGCCGGTCGATAGAATGTTGATTTTGTTTAAAAACGTGTACGCGGTCGTGAATGTGAAACAAACCGGAGTCCCGTGCAGCACGCAGACAACGAGAATTAAAACCAACAACAATTTCGCGCAAACTGCATTGACCGGAATGAAATCGTTTTCCCGTCTAAATGTCGGCGCTACGGTGAGTGAAAATATTTTTAAATTGTTATTTCTCGTACCATGGATTTCAAACTCCAGAGCTTTTATTAAAAATATTGCACATCCGTTGTTTATAAAAAGTGACAAAAACCGAGCGAATTCATTTTCGTATATTTTATTAGTTGTAAACGTTGTACGCGCTTTCGTTACACACGCAATTTATACTCAAAGGTCTCGTAACCTGTGTTATAAAAAGAACGCGGGAACCACAACACTGTTGTCTGTTTATATGCTTACGCTATATTTCGTACAATACTATTGAAAAACGTACATCGATTGTGTAAGAACAGCTGATACAAAATGTAAACTTTGTTTCCTTGGTTAAATATAGATGCTCAATAGCGAGAAACGTGCGATAGAAAGAAGTCTCCGTAATTTGGAACGAACCGTTCAGGCTTTAAAGTTCAACGCATTAAATCAGGCTCAGACCATGATCAGTAGAAACTCGTGTTTACTTAGCGATGGCGAGATAGTAAATTGTATCAAAGTGTTGTCTCAGTAACACTGTGCACGGCGATTCTTATAGTTTTACGAAGTGCATGAATCCCTAACATTACAACGACGTTCGTAGCTAATCTTTAAAACTAGATGCTGTCACTCTAATTGTAGTAATACTCTTGTCGTTCAATCGTACATAAAAAAATACCAATAGGAGTAATTGGCAAACATGTCCACGAGATTAGAAAAATGTTAACTGTCGTTATGTCTTATCGTTAAAAATGTTATGAGATGAGAATAGTTATACACGCACAGATGTACATTGCATACATACATACATACATACATAGTTAATGTACATAATCATATATATTTAGTTGTATTGAAAATTATCTACCGCGCTATTTTGAGTATGATTTAAATATTTTCATTTCGTCGAAGGTAAAAGTGCATTCTACTACATTCTCGTACGTGAATAAACTTCGTTTTAATCTCAAAAGCATAGTGACTCGTTTCATTTTTACATTTGCGTATGATCTCCTCTCGCAGTGTAAATGGAAAATATATTAAAAATGTGAAATGCAATTTGTGAAAAAATACATTTATGCATAAACCTTAAAAGGTAGATCAACTCCTTTTCATATAATTCCTTCGGTTGAAATATATAGAATTTTTACACGACGTTTCCTCTCGATTCAACACTCCGTATATCAAGGTTTAATTACAAAGACATAAAAAGATGCGTTACTCTAAGGTTCTCATTAAATAATTATGAAAATCTGATTTACGATACGCTAGCGTTTATAATTACATTCGCTTATTTTTGGCAAATAAAATAAATAGTTTCAGCATGCACTATGTATCTTAATCATTTAATTGTCGCGTTGAATCGCGAATCTCTTAAAAAGACAGTGTTAGTAACAGCTAGGTTTCGATTCTTACGTAAAATCTCTTTAAAAACACGACGAGTGAAAATGTCCAGGGAAGGGCGACATTACATTAAAACATGATAAAATATTTAAAGGAATGTCATTTTCATATTAATGCGCATGTTTCGGTAACCCTGCTCTTTCCCTTTCTCTTCGTTCCGCCTTCATCTTTGATTATCCGCTAATATTTATCAAAAAGATCCAAGATTGATTGCTAAATACTTATTTATACCTATACTACCCTCTTCGCGTCACTTATTTTTCGCATACGCAGTAAATTGTTCTAGAAATGGAAAAAAAAATGTTCGGCAGCTCTGAATTTATCCTTTCTGTCTCTTATGTCTATTTGAGAATGTTCGATTGTAATCCATGTGTTGAGCCTGGCACTAGGAATTCGCGTTCCTAGTAATACTTTGAACGACACGCTGTCCCCACCAGGCTTCCAGGTTGAATGGTTCAAAGTCTACAGACATAAGGAAATTGATTAAAATCAATCCATGTAACATAAAAATGAAAAAAAGAAACAGAACTAACCTTTCAGTTGTGGATTTGGTTCTCGTTCTTGATAATATGTCACGGATGCTCCATTCCTTGAATTGGAGGAATTGCTGTGCAGTTGATTGTGACACATATCTAACTCTCTGGATACTGTGTTCCATGCTATAATAAGAAACAACAGTTGGTGGTTTATAGATTTGAATTTAGTTAGGAGTGACGAACAGTGATAATGTCCGATACTTACAGTCATAAATGTATTTAATTAAGTCAAAATGTTGAGCTACTGTTTCCGATTGATGTCGTGATGGGATCGAGGACGGTCTCTTCCCATTCATCGTTGTTATTTGTGATCTTCCACTGTAAACAAAGTATTTGAAGATCGTCACAGACAGATATTTAAACCACGCAGTGCAAGTAATCACCATACTATGAGTGCCAGCTTCTACTGAACCGGCGTGCTACGTTTATTCTATTTTAAGATTTAACGATTTCGTGGTAATTAAAATAAACACAGTTACGAAATATGAAACAACACGAAATAGCACTTTCTATATTTAATAGAATATTCTAAGAAAATTTAGATATACCTATAAGAGCTTTAAGAACAAGAAAAAAACAAAACGAAAATATTTGTTGAAATTCATTGACACTTGCTATCACATGTGGATAGGATACAGTCTGTGCAGTGGACAAGAATGGACAACATTCCATTGTAACAGAAAATATAACCTTTCATTTCAAAGAATATCGTATTTCGTATCTACCAATACCAGTACAATGAAGCAACAGAATTATGTGCAGAATAAATGCACTAAAAATACTGAATTAATAATAATACAGGAATAATTAATATTAATCATTTTATACAATGTGTACAAGAGTCTATATCTGTCATAGAAGCCACGTATACATACATACGATGTATACCTAGGATTCGTTTCTCAGATATCTTTTCAACAACGTTTTCTTTCGACCGGCTGGAAAGAAATAAAACGTTGAAACATTTTTACGAAGCAGCTGAAACATACGAGCAACCTACGAAGCGTGGGATATGTCAGAAAAAATACGAAATAATTAATAATAGGAAGGCTAACTTTCGAGGAGAAAACGTCAATGGAAAAGATGGCGATTTCTGCATGACAATTGATGCAACGCTTTCTGGTTCCCGCCTGTTTCTTCCTCTATCCATTTAACGCTGTTGCTTCTGGAATTCTCACGGCGACGATACGATTGGCATTTAGCCAGGGGTGAGCGTGCGATTACTCAGGTGGAAAATGACCTCGCGCACCGTAGAAATTAGAAACGGGTTCGTGTAACCAAAGAGACGCGGGAATGAAAAGAAGTCAGACTCGTAGCGTAAATACCTCATTTTCTTTGTTCTGCGATCAACTGCTGCAAACGAAACTCGTGCGGGCTGCAGCCTTACTAGATTGATTACACAAATCACTATCTACGTGCAAATATGTAAATATTTTAATGAAAATAAACAGTCGAAAAGCTCTAACGAGAAAGAGCGTTTGTTTCTTGCAACAGCTGCAGGAAGCTTGCTTTCTCCGAGAACTGTCAACAATATGACGCGACTCACGCGACAGCCAGAACGTAAGACTCGAATGGTAATATAGGACAGAAACGACTACGGTCGTATGAATAGGACTTAGGACTCTAAATGGGGGATGCGTAGACCTGCGTGAAGCTTAACATCCAAAATGGCAGTCGACCAAGGTTGTTAATATTAATGATAAAGAAGACAGTTTTAGAAAAGCGACTTCATTAGCCTTCCGTATTTACGAGCTTTTCCTCCCTCGTCAATAAACCATATGATGAACTGCCTGCTATCAAGACAAAGAGAATGCGTGTATAGGTCGCTATAGTCGCCATTTGGATTTGTGACCTCACACAGCTCTTACTTTTTCATTATACGGTGTCCAGGTTAGAAAATCTTGCCAACGATAGTTCCAGTCACTACGTGTTAAAGAATTTCACTGCAAGGTGGAGCTGTGAAGGATATTAACTCTTACATTTGTTCTCCAATTGTATTCTGATTAAATTACAAAAACAATAATATTGTAATTTATAGAATATTTTTTGTATGTATTTTATGAGGCCAAGATTTTATTATGAACTGCAGTAATTTTTATGTAGACGTCATCTATTGATTTATCTAATCATTTCAATGATAATTTTCAAGTTATTTTTAGTTTATCTAATCTTGCAATACTTGCGCAATTAATTAATTAAAATCATGATGATTCCTACTTAGTTACGCAGAATATTTTCTGTTTGAAATTCGCTTAGAATTAAAGTTGAAATACATTATGATATTAAATCTGCATGCAATTTCAAAACGTCTCAATGTAATTGCAAGTCTAATTTTTCTCCATATACACAACGATTAAATAATTATCATATTAAAAATAATTTTTAATTTGATAAATATTTACCTGAAAGTAGGTGTTTCTTTCTGCAGGAACTTTCGCCTGTATTTGAATTATCCATGGAATTATTAAAGTATTGAAATACCTTAATAGAAATTCTTAAAAACCAATTAGACACAGTAGATATGTATATTCTTTCTATTTGAAAACCGAAAAGAATTTTTTAATAAAGATTTATACGTAGCAAGAAACATAAAAATAAGGAAAATATACGATATGATGAATCTATAGTTTGGCAGAGAAGACAAAATTTTTATACAGAAGCTGTAGGCACTGATCTTCTCCGTACTTTATCTTCCAGCTTGCTTGAAATTTTTGTGGTAGGAACGATTTCCAATTACTATAATAGTAAATAGATAAAATTTGAAAATTGGAAGCCTTCTGTATGCAAAACACCATCGAGGATATGAGAAAATTGATCGTTTTTTATTTTAATCGTGACGCCTGTGAAAGGATAATGTTCGGCTGGTAGTGTGGTTCGATCGACGAAGAAAAGGACGAGATTTATTATTTACAAGGTGCACATTTTCATCCATAACATAATTTTACTCACGCAATAAAAACTTTTACATAATAACGTCGTATCCCGTAGTAATAGTTTTAGTTAGGTATATCGATCATGCAATGATACGACTTTCTCTCTGCGTTTATACTCATTTACGTAACAATGTATATCATATTCGCCACCATTTAACGATGGTTCTGCTTTGAGTTTTGAGTGCATTATATCTTCTGCCTCCCGTTTTGTATGTTGCCATAATTTTCTTTTCTTTTTGTTTCTTGATTACAAGCAACTGCAACTGTTCACAGGCCATACAAGTTTACTATAAATTGTACGGCTCACAGCGATCAACCTTAATATTATAGAAGTCGTGATCCGTCGTGAACGCACTGCGACCAACGGGCACGCACACTTTCTTTCGCGTTTCTTTCAAAATTCGCTATCTGTATTTGTACAAAGATAATTTATAAAACTCTTTAATTTTGTAAACAATTCTTCGTATATTTCCTTCATAACGTCAGTTTTAACGGACTGGAAGGAAGGAAAAGTAATAATTGATTTATACATGCAATGAATCCTCAACTTCACTTGTAGCACTCATTAGGTATTTCAATAAAAAATATACTATGCTTGTTGAAAACAGTACGGTTTATGTCTTTAGTTCGGATTTGAAAATTTCGTTCATTCCAGCAAATAGAAATTAATAGTAAAATATAATTACAATCTTCTAATATTTGGGTTACAGTATCAGTCGAACAACTCCTGTTGCTCGATTATATTGAAGTTCCACTGCATCATGATATCACTCCTTGCAAGGAAGCATTTTTACATATGCATGTATATATATACTTGTAAATATTTAAAAGAAATACAGGAAAATCATATCTTTTGTTTCTTACTTTAAAATACAATTAACATATTACAATAGTATTTGAACCTAGATCAGTGGAAGCAACGAATAATAATTTTAATTATTGATTACTGGATGGTGCATGAAGTATATGATCGAAAAAAGAATGAAGAAACGGTGCGAAAGTGCACGCGCAGGCTGTAACCGCGAGCGTTTGAACTTTTACTTATTTGTACGTAAAATTATTCCTCATTATACTGATGCATATCTAGACTTTTGTTCCGTTACGAACGATATTTAGAATATTATTTCAATGAGCAAGTAACTAGGAGAGTCCTGTTTTTATTTACTTCCTTTTTCTTATCTCTTGCCCGACCCTCTCGTTTTTCCTTTCTAGTATATTTTTTTTTATTTTTTAAACCCCCTTTTAGCTAAACGACGTGAGCGCGAGTACACGCTAACATTCCGTCAATACGTCCATTTTCTTAGCAGTCAGCGCAAGCAAGTCTCCGATTCTAACGCATGTAATGCGATTGTGTGGTATAATTAATTGGTAACACGCACGTATACACGCACTTTCACATTTTCTCCCTCACATTCTCTCTCGCTTTCGTATTAGTTCATTTACTACACTTTTTCATTCTCCCTTTTCTTTCATTTCGATTTGTCTTATTTACAATGTATCTCATCATCTCGAATCGCGCTCGCTGTATGCCAGTGAATGCCCTCTTTTATGAATAGTAAGAGAGTATCTGCTGCTGTAGAACACAGTACTGAGGAAGATTAATTTAATTTTATTTATTAAATTAATTTAATTGCATTTAGTCTACGTAATATCAATAGTTAATAAAAATGTAGACAATTTTATAGAGTATCTCTGTTCTAATTAAATAATATGCTGTTGTAATTAAATTCTATTAATATGAAACTTAAAACAATAAATTCACAATATTTGGAAATTAATCGAATGAATGGTGGTTGTTGTCCAATGAAGATGCTAGACAAAAATCAATATACGAATTATAAATAAGATTAGAATTCAAAGTGATCATGTTTACGGTATAAAAAAGTCTCTGTTTGTTCTTAGTTATAAAAATATTTAGACTGACAATGAGGTTACACAAACTGTGTAACAAGGAAGTTACATTTCGATGACGATCATTGCTGTCCTGCTACAACTGATAAAAAAAACGTACAAAAATTAAATAATTTTTGTCGATTTCTGCTTAATCTTGTATTCTTCGAATTCGCGATGGATCGTATAAATGATTTCGTACAACGGACACTTCTCTGTGGCATTCGGTGAGCGTCGAGGTAGCCTGGAGTTTCTCTTTTCGTCGATAGAACCTCATATGTATCGCGCAATGTATTTGCCAATAGTTAGGGTAACTCTTTTTTTTTATTATACGCACGCGCTCCCCAATAGCAGTTCGTTGAAGGGGGTGGGAGTGGCTTTTCTACAGCGAACGATCGTCTTCCTCAGAAACGATCAATGATAATTGAGCTGATATTTGTATACGTTGTCGTCGACCATGCATTTTATTCGGATATTACAAAAAACGGTATTTTTAATAGCGCAGAGCTAATCGTGAACGAGGGGCGTGCCGTAATCTGCCCGTATTTCTCTTCGCATCCCCTGTAATTTTTCTAGTCTTAAAAAGTACCACTAATCAATGTCCGTATTCGTTTTTAATGTACAGAATTATTAATAATCGAACGGTGCAAAACGAGATTGTTTTTAAACGAGAAAGGATTGATCAATCGGGCAGATATCGAGGCACCCGCGTGATCGATATTCTTTAAGGATCTACGAGATCTCGGCTCGATATTACGCCCGTTTCCGCACCATATGTATTTTAATTCTTCATCGCGTTTTCGTTAATTGTTCAGGAACAGGAACCTCCGCGATAAAATACAGACCACGGAGATAAGTACTCACAACGCACGCACACTTACTCAGTTAATGTACACGCGGGCATTCGTACACACTCGCGGACGATTCACGTACACACCCGATCGAGTCAAACACCCTCACTCAAATTCTATTAAGTCTACTCTATCGTTTGTTAATTTATATCCGCAACGTCGCGTCGTGTACGCCTGTTGTGCAAAATGCAACACGGTTCGTTCTCGCGCGTCATTATCATTCGTCTCCTTTCGATTCGCCGCGCAATTTTTGTTTCCGTAGAATCGGCGCGTTACAGCCGTATTTTATTCGGTCATCTTTCCTCTTCCGGGTAGTATAGGTAAACGTACGGGTATACCTATATCTACTGAGTGCTCTGGTATATGTGTATATATATATATATATATATATATCCGCAACGTCGCGTCGTGTACGCCTGTTGTGCAGGATCGTATCGAGTATATATATATATATGTATGTATTTATATAATTTATAATTAATTATATGTATATGTATAATAGTTCAGAGATGGTAATCGCCCAATCTACGGGGTACGTTTCTCGTCTGTGTCTTCTTGTTTTCATTGTCCGTATGCGTCTCCGTCGCGTCGTCTGCGTTCGTCTACATTGTCTCCCTTATGATTAACGATCGTAGAATACGTTTCTACAACATAACGCGTTTAGTATCTGTATGTGTTATTAAATACATTTTAGAATTTGGTACTCTCCTCGAGACAGTTCGTCGCGCGATACTTCGTCGTACTTTCGTTCCTCTTCCCTCGGTCCTCCGACTGATTAAGTTCCCCACAGGATTTTCGCGCGTTCCTCCGCCTTCGATTATTCCGCGTCTACCTGCATCCAACGCTGGGACAATGCTCCTTGCGTTCGATCGTCAAAGAC